ATTAACTGTCAGACTTAAAAAAATCCTTTCATCTCCTAGGATCCCAGCAGAAATTCTAATCAGAATGCAGAGCACTTTCAGCCAGATCAAAGACCTGCAGTTCGCCTTACTTTGGTCCTGTCTCACTGAGATGTCACTATTTCTCATGTCAGGGTGTTTTTCGTATGATAGAAACATTAGCATAATGGAGGGAGGTTTTCGGGTGAGGTAACTCTGCTGATTCTTTATGCAGGTTTTAGGCCAACAAAGATTTTCAGTGTGTTTGAAAGCAATTGTGGAAGTTTTATGTTGAGATTCATCAGGAGAATTTTTAATTGCATTAAACCCATAACCCACTGTGTAGAAAAAAGTATACATGCCATCTGTAAAATGTCAATGTTTGTGTGTGCATGTGCTCTGCAAATTCTTCCACCAGTCTACCTAGATTTTTTCATTGCCTTTCCTTGATTGATAATTGCTTTTTTTGAAGTGAGTTATTTCTGCAGATTTCAGGATTTATTACCTGGGGTCAGTACTTGATTATAATCACAATGGGACAATAGGAAACTGTTGGAAGTTATTTTTAGATATGCTCTTATATCTTTCATGGTAGCAAGTTACAGTTTTGAGGCTTGGTTTCAACCACTAAATCATTCTGGGACTATAGTGGTCTCCATATATATGAAATTCTGCTTGTTCTTTGTAATGCCAGTGTATCAGTAGTTAGTCCAGCATCCCATGCAAAGTAAGTTTCACCTGCACTCTCTATACCTGCATGTCTGTTCTGTCAGTGCAGAAGTTGCAGGTTTTGATACTTTCATGCCAATGAAGCAGTCTAGTATTTGAGAACATTCAGTTACTCTGAGGTACTGCTTGTAATAAATGATCACAGTGGACTGAAAAAAAATTTTTACTCCTGAAATATACTTTGCATGGCATTCGTTCCCACTAATATGCTATTTTATTTTCTTATCTAAATCTACAAGATGTAATGAATACCATTAACCTGTTCCAGTGCAAATAGAAAAAGGAGAAGAGATGTAGACACAATCCTACAACATACTTAGTTCTTCCTTTGGGGTGTTTTCATTGTCCTAAGGCTGTAGCTGACATAGACTTCATCAGTTCATCAGGTCTTGGCATTCGCTCCCTACAGAGAAATATGTGAGTAAAAAAAAAAAGAAAAAGATACAAAAATAAATGAGTCAGAAATAGCTGCCTATTATTTGAGTTATGCAGCAGCTATGTTTTGAAACGATATTGAGCAGTGGTGGAAGCAGCCGAGAGAAAATACACTTCGTAGCCAGAATGGTATGTTTTACCAGTTTGGAAACCTGCCTCAGCTGAGCAATCCAAAATAACTTCTTTTGCAAAAGATCTGGGCTGCTTCTTGGCAGGTTGGGAGACACAAGGAAGGGAAACACCAGAGAGATTTACTTCATTAGACTGTTCCAGTAATTTGCACGTGAATGACAGAAATACTTGTGTTTAATGCTGTTGCATTATGGTGGCCAGTGTGTGTGCTGCTTCATGGGAAGAACTGTTGGTCAGTGCTGTCAGATGTAAGCGTTCTGGTCTTAGAGACTCTGCCGCTCTTTTGTCTCCATCGCTCACTCGTATCTGCACAGAGGGAATATATGCTTGCTCTCCCTGTTGTCTTTCGCAGTTTCTGTGTTGTCATTGTCTGTCCATGGTTTGTCAGAGTCTGAGCTATAGGACTCT